TTGACTGACCCGCTGGTTCGGGACAATGTGCCACCCGGTATGAGGTACTGGGGATCGAATCCGAGCCCCTGCGCTTGCCAGACAGGCGCTCAGACCGCCAAGCTAACTCCCCGGCCCCTCTGACTGATTTTCTAAGTGAAAAATGACACGCAGTTAAATCTGGAAGTGTAACAAAGATGGAACCGCCCGTCGTGCCAAAGTGGTTACTCGTCCACCTTAACTTTAGAGTTCACGGACTCTAAGTCTGTTCCCTCTGGGTTCAATTAGGAAACTGGGTTTACAATTCTGGAAAAGTATTTTTAACTATGGTATCTTGTGAAAGCAGCGTGTAATTAGGTATTTTAATAACTGTTAGTCCTCCGGGAACAAACCAGCCTCGTAAACGATTTAAGTAACACGTGCACGCCGGGGCGGCCTCGGCACAGCCCTAAACCCTGCAACCCGCGCCCGCGAGTCCCTCCACCCTCCCGGGGTGCGCGGGGCGCCCGCGCTGCGGACTGAGCGGGCTGCCGGCCTCCAAGGCAAACAAAGAGGCGACCCAGAGCCTCAAGGCCGGAACGAAGCGCACACCCTGACGCGGGGCTGGCCACTGGAAGGGTCTGAGGCGCCAAGCCCCTGGGCTCCGGGGTAGGCGGGCGCCCTGGCCGCGCACGCACCGGCCCCGTCCTCCCGCCCGGCGGGCTACGGGAAGGGCCGCAGCGCAGGCGAGGGCCAGCGACCTCCTCCCCGCCGGGCCAGGGCGGTCCCGGAGGAGTCCGAATCTGCCCGGCGCCCATCCCCGCACGACGGTAGTCCAGCGCACGCCTCCGGAGGCAGGCGGCGAGGGCTGCGGCAGGCCTGGAGCGGCTCCCGCCGACTCTCGAAACCGCCCAGGCGGAAAGAACGGGGCAGACACCGAGCCGCACAGGCGCCTTCCCCTCAGGGCTGCGGCGACCCCACTCCCACTCCCGCCCCGCGCCCCCAGGGTCCGGGAATGCCAGCCGCCGCACAAGCGCCCTGCCCCTCAGGGCTGCGGCGACCCCGCTTCCGCCCCGCCCCGCGCCCCAAGGGTCCGGGAATGCCGGCCGCCGCACATGCGCCCTGCCCCTCAGGGCTGCGGCGACCCCGCTTCCGCCCCGCGCTCCCGGCACGCCCCG